CCGGGTGGTGGCCCGCGCCCCAGAAGCTTTCAAATTTCCCCGCCAGTGGCTGTGCAATGATGTCGGCCAGTGCCTTCAGTACCCTCGGATGGAACTCATCCGGGCCTGCCGACTTAAAGGCATCCAGTTCTTCCAAGAGTATTGAATACTTGTCAGTATTGAAACGCATTCTGTATTCGTTAGCCCACCCCTGTAACCTGTCCAGGTCCTACTGTAATCTGTCCTTCCCTACGAGCATGCCCACCTCACCCCAAATCTTGGTATCATCAGGAAATTTAAACAGGCTGCTTTTTACCCCATTGTCCAAGTCACTAATAAAGAAATTGAACAGTGCAGGCCCAAGGACCGAGCCCTGGGGGACTCCACTGCCCGCTTCCCTCCAGGTCGAAAAAGACCCGTCCACCACTACCCTCTGAGTACAACCCTTCAGCCAATTTGTAATCCATCTGACTGTGTAGGCATCAATGCCACAGTGACCTAGTTTTTTGATGAGAATGGGGTAGGAGATGGTGTCAAAAGCCTTGCTGAAGTCCAGAAAGACTACATCCACCACAACACCTGCGTCCAATGCTTTTGTGACCTGATCATAGAAGGCAATCAGGTTCGTCTGACAGGACCTGCCCCTAATAAAACCGCGCTGGTTGCCCTTGTGCATCATCCCTGCTGCTGGGCCATCACAGATGTGCTCCTTGATGATCTTCTCAAAGAGTTTCCAAAGGATTGAAGTAAGACTAATGGTCCTATAGTTGCCCAGGTCCTCCCTCTTCCTTTTTTTGAAGATGGGGACCATGTTAGCTTTCTTCTAGTCATCTGGCACCTGGCCAGAGCACCATGAGCACTCGTAAAGCCATGTCAGGGGCCCCGCAATAACCCCTGCCAATTCCTTCAACACCCTGGGGTGGAGAGCATCTGGACCTGCTGATTTGAACAAGTCCAGCCCCTCCATAAGCTCTCTAATCCGGTGTTCCCTGATCTTAGGCCTGGTGGCATTGCTTCTGAGTCCATCTGGAATCTTGGTCGGGGAGTCCCAGTCCCTGCACAAGAAAATGAAGGTGAAGAATTTGTTAAAAAGGTCTGTTTTCTCCTCTGATGCAACCACCAGATTGCCAAGCATATCCTGCAGGGGCCCCACATTATCCAGTACCTTCTTCATTCGCCCTATATATTTAAAAAAGGACTTTGTATTATCTTTGATCCTTGATGCTAGCCCTATCTCTGTACCTGCCTTAGCTTTTCTAACAGCCCCCCCTGCAGACCCGAGCGGTGGGTACTCTTCTTTGGTAATAGCCCCTCCGTTCCACCGTGTGTACACCTCCTTTTTGGCAATCAGGCATGTGCGAATGCCCTTGGTGAACTAGGGGGGCTTTTGGGCACTCTTGCCCACCTTGCGTCTTGTTGGGATTGTCACCCCTTGGGCTCTGAGTATCGCCTCCTTAAGGAACTACCACTCGTCTTGGGCACTGAGTTCCCCTACTGTCGAGGACCCCAGCGCCTCTCCCACTAATCTCAACTCATTGAAGTTGGAAGTCTTGGGCTACTGCGTTACTCCCTTTAACTAGCTTTCCCCAAACATTCTCCAGGGCAGTAGGAATCTGCGTTTATGAAATTTTATGGCATGTTTCAAAGCTTTCATTTTTGTCAGGTGTCTGAGACTTGATAGGAAAGTTAAGAATGGATTTATTTTGGAGTTATAACTAGTATTATACACACTTTTGTCATTATTGTTTAATCAACAACCTTATTTACCAGAACATCTGTTAATTTTGTCGTGAATCAGAGCAGCCGCCGGCAGCCGCTTGACTCACCCACCGGAGTGTTTAGATTTAGAGCTCGGCAGGCGGGTA